CTCATAGTCTATACTCTAATCTAATCTTTCTGCCACACTAAGGCATTGGCACCCAATACTGTTGTTTTGTGCAAGCATATGATGGCTAATGTCATATCATCCATAAGATATTACTACAGAAAATCGATGACTAAACCAAAGTTTCTTTATCTTGGAATTTCTGTAACAGAATCTGTGGGGCGAACTGCAGGCGGGCACATTATCCACGTCACACATTAACCTGTGAACCGTCGGATCGAGCCAACTCGTCACCTCCGGCACGCGGGCAAGCTGCCACGTCCACGGGTGCCTGGTGCCTGGCGGCAGCACTTCGCCGTGGCAGGCCACAGCCTCCAATGTCGCATGATGCCATGCAGAGTGTCGGCCGCTGGCCACTGAAGAGATCGGCTCCAGCCCCCAGATCGATGCCCACTGTGAGCCTAGAGCCCTAGACCCTCCCACGCCATCATCCTGGGGCGCGTTTAGTTTGCCGGAATTTGGATGTGCAAAGTTTGCATAGCGTCAGATTCTTAATGTAGCATTTTGTTTGTATTTGGTAATAATTGTCCAACCGTTGACTAATTAGGCTCAAAATGTTCGTCTCGCAAAGTACAACCAAACTGTGCAATTAGGTTTTAATTTCGTCAACTTTTAGTATTCCATGCATATACCGCAAGTTTGATGTGACGGAGAATCTTCTTTTTGCATAGTATCAAAGTTGGAAGTTTGGGAGAAACTAAACCTGGGCCTGGCTCAGAAGGAACGCTAGCTCTATGCTTAACGCAGACTGACCCCATCAGCGTGGTAGAGAGGCCCTGTCCCTGACCTCGGTCACCCCTACGCCCCTACGCGTTATCATCAGAGAGATGGACCATCGTGAGCCGAGCCATGCTCCCCCCTGCCACAGAGCAAGTCTCCACCCTCGACCTCGGTCGCGCGCGAACCATGCCTCCACATGGATGTTACCTCTACCCACTCGTCTGCTCTCATAGCAGATGGCTACACGCCTATGCCCACACCAGTACATGGCTAAGTCTGTTCTGTGCACTCCAGGTGCAATCACAGAACGGGCAGCCGGCAGGCCCAAAGCCACCTGCCATCCCCAAGCCGAATGGGACAGCTGTTTCTGCATCCCACCCACCCACACTGCCTATCACCACCAACGATCACTTCCGATGACGCGGTTGACCTCAAGACGCTACACACAACTTATTCGACGATATGCCTGTGTGAGGTATATAAATGAATATTGAAAGATTGATTCCACATTGTGGTATCTTTCAATCAGATGATATGCTTATATTGTTAGCACCTTTTTCTGCCACACAACAAATGGAAGCAAAGGTCAAGCTCGGGATAGGATGGCATGTGATCAAGAGTAACAATTTGCAGGCACTCATCGTATTGGGTACTGTGATTTGTTATGTGTGAGTCTGCAACTGCAATGCCTGCAGCTTGTAGTGGAGAATTACTTTTTTTAAAAAGCTAGTGGAGGATTACTACAGAATTATAGGTAAAGTGAAATTGATTTTATATGATTTCTGATGTCTCAGTAATATGCGAGTACACAATCCATACTCAATAATCTTTGCTACTTGTAGTTAGGAAAAGACAAATCACAGACCATTTTTTGGGATAGGACTTTAGTACCAGCCTCGCCACAATGTGCGTGCAAAAATATCAGAATAAAAAAAGGGGCCTTTGCTGTATATAGTATCTGCAGTAGATCTTAATCTAGAAAGTAAGTTTACACATATACCAACTAGATATTTGTTCATAAGTGTTCCTGCAATGATCCTATTGAAAAAACTGAAATATGAACACTAGGCTGGTAGGCATTTTCATCTACTATACAGTTCTTTCGCTGTTCTGAAGTTTACCACTCAGTTTCTTTGTTAACTTTGGTTCTCTTTCTACAAATTCTTGCCAATTTTCAACAGCACGCTGTCAGACATGGAACCCAATTAGAAATTAGGAAGTTTTTTCATGTGATTGGGCTACCGTGTCAAACTTGTGGTCTGGTGATCCAACTGTTGAAAGTTGAAACATACCCTTCGCATTAGCGAGGATGTGCTGATTTGAAGCAAAACAAGGAACTAATCAAAGGTAGACAATGGCTCACTCTCCTAAATACATATTTTTTTACCTTAAAATATATGGTCTATGTTATGTTATAACTTGAGACCTCTCAAATGATTTCAGGGACCTTGTACATACAAAGAACAGAAGAGAAGAAGCTTATGAAGTATGATAAACTAAAGACATGAACAATATAATATCTGATTATTGTTTCAAAGAAGATATAGTAAAGGCAGAGAAGATACAGAGAATAGAAGGAGCAACAGAACAAATCTAAAGTTTTTTTTTAGCCACCAATGTTGTCTAATTCATATTTGTGGTGCTAACTCAGTTACACACTTGCTCATACTTGCAACTGATAAACAGGCAGAATCGACAAATCGAACACTGTTCCATACACCCATGGTACTAGTACCAAAGTACCATCTCAGATTACTGCCTAATAAACATTGGCGGGCTCGCTTGGGTCAGTCTAGACGAATCAATCAGTAAGCTCTCACCAAATTGGAGAGAGAGAGAGAGAGAGAGAGCAGTTTTTCCCGTTTTGTGGCGACAGGAGCATTATTATTCAGAAGAAGAGGCTACAGATGACAAGAAATCCACATAGCATGAGAGCAGTGCTGAATAACCGAGAGGGGGAGAGGCTTGCCTCGGATTTGTCCGCGCCGCCGCCGGCGACGTCGCTTCCGCTGGACGGACATGAGACGCTTCAGCGCCAGCAGACCCATGGTGCAGGGATGGCTGGGATGGGAGAGACGCTAGTCAGTAAGGCGCAGGGGGAGAAGACAGGAGGAGATCACAATTGCCTCAAATCCAAAGAAACTAGGCACGAGGAGAAATCACGCGCTCCCGCGCTCTGTATTCGACTCCAACGCGCGCACCGAGCTACCAACGAGTTCATTGCAGAATTTAGAGAGAGGAAGGCAAGCGAGACGAGATGAGAGTATGAGACTGCACATGGATGGAGTGCCTCATCTTGCTGGCTTTTTTGGAACATGGCAATTTTTTTCTATTTCTACTTTTTTCCGTATAAAATTGAATTGATTTATGTAATTCTTATATAATTCTTATAAAATTCCTATGTTCGAAATAGATCCTAACAGGGTAGGTTAGTTGGGTTTACATGGTGGATTTCGATTCGGAGGATACGTGGACATTTGAAAATGGGCTTCGAAAGCTAATGGGTCATGACAAGTTGGGTGTATAAAAAAGGCACGTTGGGATGGGTTGGCAGTAGGCAAAAGTCCTCTTGGCTTCCTTTTATTATTGTAGTAGTCCAGTTGAGCTCCTTCAACTAGAAAATCGGATGTTTATGCTCTTCATCAAACTATTAAAGCCATCTGATTTATCCCCTGAGCAATTTTCAAAGCGGTTTTGGCTAACGTGGCACCGCGTTAGCCGTTCTACGTGGCGTCACGTCAACCATGAGGAAGTAAATTGGACTTTCACGATAGTTCAGGGATGTCAATTGGACTTTATAAAAAGTTATAGAAATATTTTTTTTCAAAAAAATATCTAGACTTTTTTTAATAAATATACATTTAAAAATACTAAACATCTTATTTAATGTTAGGAAAATCATAGGAAATTTGTTTCAAGTCAAAAAAAAAATGAAACCAGATGCATATTTTTCCTAAAATCATATTTTTCTAAAACCATTCTCTGTGCTTTTCAGAGTTAGGAATCATAATATAGAGCATGATTTTACAAAACACATGAAGTCTGCCATTCTGAGCCCATCCAAACTGCCTTTTCTACTTGATCATGTGCTCTCGATGCATGCGTAGAGTTATGATGGTGACGATGGACGAGGAAGCGGTCGCATCTGCCCGAATGTTTTGAGTCAATTCTCAAATGTAGGGCGAGAATCTAAGAAGTTGCATGGTGTCCAATGAGTCTACACACATCATTGTTGTGATGTCCCTAAGAAGACAATGCTGCTACAAAGTTAGACCGCATGATACATGTTGTTAATGTGCAATCAAACCTTGAATTATATTTTTTTCATTTGAAAATTCTATAGATGTCTCGATGGTAAAGCTAGACATTGTTGCTGAGAAAACTTTTTTTTTGTAGTTTGCACGATGACTCACAATGCAGTCTACAAAGGTTATGTCTCTATTTGCATCCTTTTGTTTAATATCTAGCTGTTTTAAAATTTATAAAAGATCATATAAGATTCAAATAATTCCAAGCAAGAAATAAAAAGGCAGAGCATGATTTTAGGAAACACATGAAACTGGTTTCATATTTTTTTATAAGTTATTAAAACAAATTTTCTAATATTAAATTAGATTTTAGAAATTCTAATATATATTTATTCTATAAAAACATTTGATATTAAAAAAATTATTTTATAACTTTTTTATAAAATCTAATTAACCTCCCTAGACTATGTAAAAATCCAATTTACCTCCCTCGTGGCTGACGTGGTGCCACGTAAGACAGCTAATGTGGCATCACGTAGGACAGCTGATGTGGCGCCATGTCACCTAGAACCATTTTCAAAATCGTTCAGGAAAGTAGGTTTCAATAGTTTGGGGTATACAAATATCTGGTTTTGTATTAAAAGAGGTATATAGATCGGACTACCACAATAGTTGAGCAGGAGGGCTTTTTTCCTTTTGCCTACTCCACTAAATAGGCCCAGTTTTTGTTTTAGCCCAAGTCCCGTACCTGCCCTAACAAAACAGCCCAATTCGCTCTGAATTTTAAATTGGGCCTACTTTGCGGCACAATTGAGCCCACGCGGGGGAACACCGAACAGCCGAACCTGTCGGAGTGGGAGGGCCGGAGAGGGGAACACCGAAACCATTTCCGTTCGAAATTAAAGGAGGGAAAGAAAAAAAAAGGGGAAGGCCAGCGAGGGCCGCCGCCGAGCCCTCCGCCCCTCCCGCTGCCGCCCCAGCTCCGGTGGTGGCGGCTGAGGCGATCGCGGCGCCATGGCGACCTACATCAACGAGCTCCGCGCGCTCATAGAGTCCACCTCGACCTCCACTGCGCCCGACGGCGCCGAGCCGGGCTCCGCGCACCTCGAGGTCAAGCTCCGCGAGGTGCTCCCCAACCTCCTCCGCGACTACGTCGTCACCTCCCCCAAAGGTGCGCCGCCCTTCTCGCCCCCTCCGTCCACGTTCATCTCCCGCGGACCGCGGTTGGCCTGACCGTTGCTGTGGGCCCGAGGTTGCAGCCGCCGGCAGGGAGCTCAGGGAAGTCAGCGCGATCCTGAAGCTGGTCGCCTTCACGGCGCTCAAGTTCCCCGGGGTCTTCTACAACGGCCGCGCCGCCGACGTCCTCAGCGTCATCGCCCGCATCCTCACGTTCCTCGCCGAGCCCAATTTCAGGCACTGCCTTCCTTCCCCTCTTTTTCGCCTCCGTTAAACCCTAGTCCTATCGCTTCTTCTATTCGGGAATAGATTGCGGATGCTATTGTGGTATGAATGTGCTGTTTGATTGGGATCTCGTATGTTGTACACTTTTTTCCTAAAAAAATGTACACAGATTTATCCCCATTGATACAGTTGTGCAATGGTGTTGCATATTGTCCATTCGGTACCAATCCATTTACTATCCAGACGTGGTATGGAGCTAGCTTATAATCTCTGTGCCTAAGAGGTCAAAGGTGCAGATACCCACTGGTGATTAGTGTATAGTGTGCCTAGCAACATGTGTCTTAATTTACCAGAGGAGTACCAAGTTATTTACCAGAGTAGGAGTACCAAGTTACCCGCAACCGGGCATAAATTTACCTTTGGATTTCTTCTTGTGGGTCAAAGGGAAAATGGCCTAGTAGGCTAAGGACGACTTCACATGTATAGTAATAATAGTATAAATGTGAACTACAAGTGTGTGTGGCTGTCATCCTTGCAGTCTTTTTTTTAAAGTAATTTGATAAGGTAGTGCTATAAGTTTCACACCGGCGTATTTCACTTGCTAAACATCCCACCTATTGTTTACATGTATGTTCTTTCTTCACTATTGCAGGTTGAGCCATGAGATTATATTCCAGGCAGTTTGGAATCTTCTCTCCATTCTCCGCATACAGGTGACCGTGAAGTCTACAGACAATTCTTTCTAGATGCTATGGTTTGCGGTAGAAGGTATGCATTTTGTTATGTTCATCTTATATTCTATAATTATGCAGAAAGGGCTGAAACTTGACCTTTTCCAATCCAACAGATGTGCTATATGTGGCATCATTGCATGACAGAAGTCCTAGTGGTGTGCCTCCTGGAAGATGTTTAGTTAAATGCCTCTGTGGATCCTTCTTGGATATATTAGACACACCTGGGCCTTATAGTGAGCTCCTAGCCAGTTGCCGACCTAAGAATGGACCTGGCGTGCTGGTTGATCTGACAGGCGATGCAAGATGGCGCCCATTTGCCACTTCGTTGATTAAACTAGTTAACAAGTGTCTTACAGATGGGACCTTGTATGTTGATGGGCTTGTTAACATGCCATTTGTTTCTGCTGCTTGTTCTATCCTCTGCTATGGGGATGGTTCTCTGCATAAGGTTGGTATCTCTCTTGATGAATAGCTTTAACTTTTGGTTATCCTTTGGTATCTGAAAGTCAATCCGTTGCAACAGGTTTGTTTTGATTTCACACGTATTGTTGCCACAGTAATGACTTCTGAGATTCTTCCTCTAGAAAACATCATTCGTTCAATCACATGCATTTTGAGCCAAGAAATTAGCGAACTCTCCGATATCAGGTATAATTATGTTCGTACTCATTGCTCCCACTTATTGAAATTACTGCACCCAATTGAGGAGACATAAGTTGGATCTTGGACACTATTGGGTTATTGTTATGCTGGATTGTAATTTGCATCTGTTTTCTTTAGCTGCTTTGCACGCGTTTTTGGAAATAGATTTACATTGACATACTATTTCTCTTTACTGTCACTGGAATGTTACTGCTTGGAACTTCTCTCTGTAAAATTATAAATGAAACAGATAGCTACCACTTTAAAGTTGCTCAGCTATGCATTTTTTCATTTTTGTCCATCGTGCCTTTTTTCGAAGGGAAGGGGGACTTATATTAAATCTTGGCACAATACATCCCCAAATTACACATGAGTCCATCGTGCCTTTAGTTCAAGGTGGGAACAAGAATATAACTTGGATGTTTCACTATTTTCCGTCTTCGAATCTGAATTGAATCTATTTTTTTAATGCAATGACAGGAGCTCTGCCTTTCAATTAAGTAGAATGGAATTGACCCGGTTTATAAGGGAAACTAGGCCTAAAAACCACACAGACACGCGGTTTATTAGATGGAAAACCGGCGAAAAACCCTAACCATGATAGCCCAGACGACAAACCCTACTACCCTAGGCAACACACTTACACATAAAGGACACCCTAGTTATAACCATTTTCTGCATGAGAACTAGCCCACGACTGCACCATTGGTATTGTTTTGCTGTATTGGCCAACCGGGAAAAAAATTGAGCATGTGAAAGCTAGATAAATTAAAAGAAGAGATCAACATTTTTCTCTTCAACAAAGGCATGCAAGCACGTTAGCTGTTTGACTCCACAAAGGCACGAACCTTCATGTTCAGATAATTTTCCTTTCTATTATGTGCTGCATGTGCATCATTGTCCTTCCAAGTTCCAAGTTGCTTGTATCAAACCAAATTTCCTATTATTTTCTCCATCCTTGCACTGACTCAAGTGAAGAATGTGCTGCCAACCTACATGCTAACCAGCTGCTAATTAGACTATACCTAGCAAATACTCCCTAGTTTTTTTCTTTTCAGGGCCCACATTTTTTGGCTCATATACCAAGGAGCATGATAGCCAATAATATTGCACTTGCTTAATTCATTAAGTATACATTACTCTCTGAAGCTTTGTTTCCTGCCATGTACTAGTTACACAGCCATTAAATGAAGCCGCATGCGTATGTGCATGACCGTGGATCAATTACTGCCTTTGCTTAAATAACTTGCCTGTGAACCAAAGCAGAAAACTACTAACAAATGTATAACTGTACTTTAATTAATTCCTTGGAAACTAGTTACACCTTCTAAATTTGAACAAGCCCACAGGAAAATAAAAGGCACGCTCTAAATCTGAATGGTGGCAGTAATTGGGTGGTTTATTTGGTCATCGAAGACAATATTAAAATTAAATCCAGATAGATGATTCATATAACTGTTGCGGAGTTCGAGGTCAAAGGAAATTGCAACTAGACATATCACTTCATCCTACCTCATGTGAAAATCCATACTCCATACAGTTCCAATTGTAGGTTTAACGTTTTACATCTCTTCTTAAAATTTTTCATTCAAAGTTCTCCTTTTGTTCCTATTCTGCCCATGATAATTGGATGCTATTCTAAATTTCTAATCAATAAATGTGTCATCATTTCCCATGCATTCCTCTTGGGGAGAGAATTAAGAATTAGGTCCCTTTGGAGGGGAGGAAAACAGTCCTTGTAATGAACGAGGTCTTGACTGGCAACATTCTCTGCTACACTGCTACTGTAGTTCCTGACTTCTGCCAAGGCCTAAAATGATTTATATATCAAATAGAAGTAGTAACTTATAACATAGATTTTGGTTCCCCCTTGTTTATTGGAATCCAGAAATCTGACACGTTACCAAAATGCTTTATCTTGGTTTCTGCAGAGATGCAGATTATGACTTCTCAATGGGAGCGTGTCTTCGTGCACTGCATTCTTCATGTCCTGACTATATTGTTGAATCTACAGCTGTTGATATTGTTAATATTCTCGAAAAAGCAGTAAAGACCAGCAAAAGAAAAGTGCAGAACTTCAGGTTCAAGGACCAACTTGACTTACCTAGGTTCTATGCATAGTTCCATCTACTACCCCCCTACTCCTTTTCAGGTTGCACTGTACACTGCATACAAGAGAATAGTTGAACTTTGCTCTGTACAAGTATGGAAACCAGAAATCCTTCTGAAGTTGCTCTGCTTGCCAAAACCTTGCAGCAAACTGATTCAATGCATTGAGAGCGGTTATCAGCAAATTTGGTCAAACCTTTTCACGAGGCATGGAGGTCGCCGACAATCTTCGGGCGACGTCGAGCGTGACTCATCACCGAGTCCAACTCGTCCTCAACTTTTATTCCGGCCTCAACGAGAAGTACCAACGCCGCTGACAACATCACGCCAGAACCTCTCACCTTTGCTTTGCTGCGAGAACCAACTCCTCCTCAAGGAGCTGCGTCTCAAGAACGAGGACAAGGTCCGCGACCGCTTCAAGCCTTTTCGTCATTGCTTTCACCGGCGCCTAGTGGCGCCCCGCCCAGAGTCCGCAGAGTTAGTCAAGGGCCATGGGAAGAATCAAGGGCTAAGAATAAAGCGGCCGCGCTTAACTTAACACTTTAAGAACGGCGGCGCCGACAACCTCTGCGTGGACAAGTTAGCGGCCACAGGGTTTTGATCCTTGGATCGGTGCACGTGTCAACCGGCGAAGCGCATCATACCTCCCCTGCAGAGCGACTGACGAGCGGTTCCGCAGACTTCGGCAACACATGGCAGCCCCCACGCCAACTGGGGTGCTCGGTGCCTCTCCTCAGCGACACGGCGTTCGCTTCGCCCGTGCTTCCTCCAACAACGGTGGACTTCGACATGGGACTCGGCCGACCTCATTGCCGCTTCGCGAAGACTTGATCGCCCAGGCAGCCCTCATGGGTTGTTGACTCGGCGCTTCATCCACATGACGCCCCTCCGATGGTATGCTCCTCCAGCGCCTACCCCCTCCACCTCCCTCTATAACAAAAGAGGGCAATGGCACTAGCATTCCGGTCACGTCTAGAGGTCACTCCATCCTTCCCACCGCCACGCAGCAAACTTCTCCCTCAATAACATTCTCGTCGCCCCTTCCTCGTCTGTAATCTTTTTATCCGTTCGTCAATTCACTCCGTGAAAATCGCCGCTCTTTGAATTTGACGCTCTTGGTTTTTCGTTCAAGGATACCAGACGGACGCGTGATTCATCGCCGCAATAGTACCGGGTGATCTCTACACCATACCTGCTATCCTCCGATCACTGGCGCTTCTTCACATGCTCTCCCCGGGTCGTTTTTATGGACCCGCGTGGCACTGGGGCTGTCTTGGCCATCGACCCTTTGACATTACAAGATTAAATAAATACATCTTGTTTCTTGTAATAAAGTAGACTGCTTCCTCTCATCATTCATGTCAACTAGGCAAGCATAACGCTGTCTCACCCTTCAAGGCCTCTCTCGTCTTGTTCTCATGCCCTGCTTGACCTAATTCATTGTGATGTTTGGACCTCTCCAATACCTAGTATATCCTGTTTTTTCATACTATTTAGTGCGCGCTCGATGATTACAGCTACTATTGTTGGGTTTTTTCCTCTTCGACGCAAATCCGAGGTCCACTAACACTTAGTTGAGCTCACAGCTCTTGCACAAAAACCCAATTTAACCTCCAGTAAAATGCTTCCAAACCGACAATGGCACCGAATTCATCAATCAGCCACCACCACCTTCTTCATTTTGCTCGGGAACACTTCTCCGTCTCTCACCCCATACACTTCCCTCAAAATGGCAAGCTGAACGCACCATTCGTGACCCTCAACAACTCAATTCAGCACCATCTCGCTTCCACGCTTCCATGCATGGCACTTTGCATCTTGAAATTTGAGGGCCCTTGTTTGCCGCTCGCTACTTACTCAATAGAGCGCCCTTCCTCCTCCATATCCCATGAGGTTCCCTTCACTACGCCTCCATGGATGCCACCCACCCACTGACCACCTTCGTGTTTTTGGGTGCCTATGCTACCCAAACCTCTGTGCTAGCTACCTCCCACATAAGCTCGCACCTCGCCTCTCAGGGCATGCATTTTCCTTAGGTATCCATCCTCTCATAAGGGTTATCGATGTCTTAACTCGAAACTCAACGCATCATTATTTCTCGCCATGTTGTGTTCGATGAGACTGCTTTTCCTTTTTCCCATGACGTCCTCCCATTCCTCGCTCCTTGGATTTCCTTCTAGACAACGATTCGGTTTGATTGCCTTGCTCTGCATCGTTCGTGGTGGAGGTCCTCAACGACCTGGTTGCTCCGTTCACCTGGGCGGTGCAGCCCCGATGATGAGCCGGACCCGGCTCTTCTCCTGCTCGGGGGCGCGCCTCGTGCTCCCCTAGCCCCAGTTCCGCTTTCCACCGCCGGGCGGGTGTGGTCACGTGCCTCGTCAGCCTTCCTGCGGCTCCGTTCCCACGGACCTACGGTCGACGACCCCGGCCAGTGCCCAGCGCCATCGGTTGTCCCCTTACAAAGACCGGGCCTCAGTCGCAACCCCATCTCCGCCACTCACGCCGCACCAGACCGGCGCATATCCCGCTGCGTGTGAGCTACGAGGCCGCTGCCACCTCCTACGCCCTCACCATCGCCTTTTATCGGCGAACTACATCGGCATACGGCGATGCCAAGCGGCGGGCTGCGATGATGGCCGAGTACCAGGCACTTTCGTCGACAACGACACTGGCGTCTTGTTCCGCGCCCTCTGGCGCGAGAAACGTTGTGGACGGCAAGTGGATTTTCGGCACAAATTCCATGCCGATGGGTCCTCGCTCGTCATACAAGGCCCATTTGGGTGGTCCGCGGGTTTTCCCAACGAGAAGGTATTGACTACGACGAAGACATTCATTCCGGTGGTCAAACGAAGCTACCATTCGGATCGTTCTCGGCATTGCCGTCTCCCGCGCTGGCCGATCCATCACCGGATGTGAAGAATGCCTTTCTTCACGGCCACCTCGACGAGATTCGGTTCACCGTCGGCAGCCCACCAGTTTCGCCGACCCCGCCACTGCAGATCACGTCGCCTCTGCAGAAGTCCCTCAGACGGATGAAGCGAGCCCGCGTGCTTGGTACTGGGCCGATTCGCGGCCTTCCTTCAACGGCTCGGTCATTCACCTCCGCCTCGACTACGTCCTCTTTGTTCACCGAGGGACGAAAGTCTTGCCTACTTGTCGCTCTCGTCGACGACATCATCCTCACCGCTCAACTCCGCTCTTGGTAGCCGACTCATGGCCCGACTCAAACGAGTTCGCCATGACCGACTTGGTGCTCTTCACCACTTCCTCGGCGTCGCCGTCACCCGCACTTCGACGGCGGCTCGTTCACATCGCCACGGCGACAGACGCCGCCGATCTCCTCCAATGGCGGGCATGGCTGAAGTGTCATCCCTACGTCAACCTGACTGACACTTCCAGGCCAAGCTCTCCGCCCATGACGGCGACATAAACCTGTCGACAAGGGCAGCTCGAGAGTTCAGAGCTTAGCGAGGGCTCTTCAAGACTGACTCGGCGCATCCTGATCCGCTTATGCAGTTCAACAGTGTGTCTCTTCATGCACGCGCCCAAGGAGCCCCACTGTCACGGCCGATCAAGCGATTCTCGCGCTATGTGAAGGGCACGCCATCCTCCGGTCTTCACATTGGCGCCGGCTCGCTCAGACGGTCGACCGCATACTGACGTCCGATCGGCCTGGTTGCCCACGACTCCAGCGGTCCGCCGGTTTCTGCGTCTATCTCGGCGACAACCGGTCTCACTGGTCCTCCAACGCGCCGGACCACGGTGTCCGCTCTAGTGCTGAGGCAGAATACCGTCTTTGTGGCTCACGTTGTGGCCGAAAGTGTTGGCTGCGCGCAACTCCTTCAGAGCTCCATCTTCCGCCGCCCTGTGCCACGGTGGTTTTCTGCGACAACGTTAGCGCCATCTACATGACGGCCAATTCAGTCCACCACAAGCGCATCGCCACTGCATATTGAAATTGACATTCACTTTGTGCGCGAGAAGGTGGCTCTTGGTGAGATTCGGGTCCTTCATGTTCCTTCATCTCATCCGTCCGTTTCTTCGACATTATGACAAAAGGGCTCCCAACGCCTTCGTTTCAAGAGTTCGAACCAGCACAGTCGTCCAGTGAAGCCCCCCTTCAGTCATGCAAGCGGGTATTAGGTAATAGGAGATTGTATATTGCATATATTAGGCAATAGGAGATTGTATATTGCATATTTAGGCAGTCTCGATCAATTAGGATCAGAGATTTACTCCTGTCCTTGTATTTGTAACTCCGCCATATATAGCAGCAGCAGCTGCCCTATAATAGAGGCGCCCTCTCCCATTGAGAGTGTGGCTTATTGCCCCAACATCATCTTCTACACTCTGGATGATGGTAATGGTCAAAGCAGTCCTCAGGCAAGATCTGGAAAAATTGAGTTGCCAAAAGTTGGCCAGAAAAGAATATCACGGCATGAGGAAAGCAGTTCTGCCAAACGTCAGAAGATGACTGAATCAGGATTTTCTGCTGCCACTGGATTTGAAAAAGAAGATTATGGCTATGCTTTTCTACAGTCTTTAAATTCACTGATTAATTGCCTGTCACCAGACAATCATGAGACTTATCCATTAGACCCTGAGGCTGCTATAGAAGTGATTAGTCTGCTGTATTTCATTATGTGTTTATCCGAAGACAAGTCTGTTTACCAGAGTTTCTAAGCAAGTCCTTTCCTGGATTTCTTGGATTCATAAACAGGTAGGCAACAATCACTGAAACTTGCATGTTTATTGATTTAGCTTGTATTTTTTTCATCCTAAAAATTATTAATCTTGCAGACAGCCCAGAGAAACTTGCATTCATTTGACGCTACCACTGTATTTTGAAGCTCTTCATACTGTAATGCTTCTCCAATGTGAGCCTTCCACTTCTGCATGTCTTTAATTTAGCAGCACTTTGCATTTTGTGCATGTCTTGTTGGGCCTTATGTGCTGCGATTTTCTTATGATCTGTCTTTGAGACATCAGGTTCATTTGTCTTGGAAGAGCTCTAAATATGTGCTACCACCCTCTGTCCCAAATTATAGGTCGTTTTTGGCTTTTCTAGGTACATAGATTTTGCTATGTACCTAGATATACAATATGTCTAGACGCATAATAAAAATGTGTATCTAGAAATACCAAAACGACCTATAAATTGGAACGGAGGGAGTACTTCTTAATTTCCTTTTCACGTTGGTAATACTTCCCAGACAGAGATACAGTTGTGTTTAAAAATACAGAACAAATGCTTGGAATGTGAGACTAAGGACCACGGAAGCAATAATGTGTCAAACTCAATCTGATTTGCCAAACTGAACAGAATGATTTGCCTGTTATCGTTTTCCACAGCAGCATTTATAAATAAGCACTGTACTGCTCTGAAAAGTAACCACAAATTACCCCCATTCCTAAATCCGAATGCCCAGATAAGCTAGCTTACTTAGCATGCACATGGAGCTGTTTGTGGTGGTCCAAATTATACACCCTTGCAATTTTGCAGCATCATCCCTCGAACAAGGCATCTTCAAGACTGCAACATTAGGACAGTTAGGCTTGTAAAAAATGGTATACGTAAGGGATCTGTTTCTCCCTGACATCAGCTTACAAGTTTTTAAGGTTTAGATTATGCTTGACCTTCCTGAGTATATGGTAATCAAGTTGTGCGTCTCTTTATTTCAACTTTAGTAGCTAACCCTTTTTGTCTTAATGTTGGTGCAGTCAATCTTCCTGGGCACAGACTCTCAGTTGATTGGTGATGGTACACATTTTGTTCATCCAACATATGCTGACCTCATCAGCATGTTGAAACTGATGTGGGATGTTGGTCATGCTGTCACTGAAACTAGTTCAAACTACAAGATAGAATATCTTTTGTTGCAAGTCTGTGCTAAGATTGGCAATAGACTGACTTCTGGATGTGATCTTGAATTCCCTTGATTTGGCTATCCGTAATGGAACTGCTGAGACTAAAAATGAGGCAATTATATCACTACCCATAATTGTGTTATATTCTGGTCCTAGGATGCTTAGAGCAATGTTTAAGAAACTTGAGTGAGTGGACTTGCTTCCCCTTTCATGATTATTGTAGATGAGATGTACTTTTCCAGTTAAAGTTTTTTAATAAGTTATTTTGTTTGTTATCCAGTACATGTGATTCTATCCTTCAAATTTTGTTCTTAAATACATGTAGTTCCATGATTTTAGGTTGATATCTTACTATGTTGTCCCTTGTTTGCTTGCTACAGGTCAGTGGATGCTTTAGGACTCGAGAACGTGGGGAAAAGTATTGCCTTTTCACTTGGTTTTCTATCTTGGTTAAATGGAACCACTGATCACACTGACAATGTGGGGGACCATTGCAAGCTATTCTTGGACAAGCACTATGAACAACCTGTGTCAACATTAGATCTTCTCTTGAGAGGTTTCTGTTGCCCTCAATGTGATATCATGAATAGAACTGTCCACAATGAAGAGCAAGTTTCTATAGTGGACATTGCACCATTACAAGTTGAGAATGTGGACTTCAATATTAACATCTCCAAGGCCCACACTCTCTTTTTCAAATTTCTCTACACAGGGACTTCTGAGGAATCTATAGTTTCTTTGGTTGAAGCTTTGCCACGGTTATTGAGGCATTATAGCAGGCATCTTCTACTTGAGATGAGAACTCGGTGGAATCAGTGTTTTGAATTTCTTCTGTGTCATGAAATGAAAGCTGTCAGGGAAGCATTTTCTGGTGTAGTCTACTGCTTCTTGGAAAACAGTGTTATGGATATTTTGTTTTCTGGTGGACTGGGAATGAATGGAGGGTCTAAAGAACTTCAGTTCATGGACAAGATAAAATGTGCTTTCACCAAAGCTGAAGATTCTCAGATTCTTTTGACACTTCTGGAATCAATTGGTACTATTGTGAAAGTTAGTGATATTCATGGAGAAGTTTTCTTCTGTTCATTTGTGTTACTTATTGGCCAGCTTGATAATCATAATTCCATCATAAGGATGACTGCATTGAGATTAATTCACAGATGCTGTGCATACTGTTTCAAAGGAGGACTGGATCTCTTCCTCTTGAAGTACTCACATGCTAGAGATAATTTATATGACTATCTGTCATCTAGACTTGTGACTCATCCAGTAATAATTAAGGAATTCGCTGAGGACATTGTAGGTATTAAGACCGTAGAGCTGATTAAGAGAATGGTTCCATCAGTTATACCAAAGCTCATTGTATCGCACCCAAACAATAACCATGCTATTTCTACTCTGCGTGAACTGGCAAGCCATCTAAACACTGAGTTGGTACCACTGATTGTAAATATGTTGCCTAAGTTCTCTGCTTTGCTCTTTTTTATGAAGATGGGCAGCATTTACCATCAGTTCTGCAATTTTATAAGAATGAGACAGGAACTGATAGCAAAGAGATATTTGCAGCTGCTTTGCCTACACTGCTTGATGAAATTGTATGTTTTCCTGGGGAATCTGATCAGATTGAGAATGATATAAGGTTATATTCTTTCCATTAGACATGCAGTTCATTGTAAATGTTAGGTATATATGAACAATTTTCTAATAATATATTAATTTTCAGGACAGCAAAAATCTCACCAACAATTCAGAATATTGCTAGAATTCTGACAGGCAGTGAAACTCTTCCTGAGTTTTTGAGGAATGATTTTGTTCGCCTTCTCAATAGCATTGACAAGAAGATGCTTCACTCTGATGATATGAAGCTTCAAAAACAAGCTCTCCAGCGAATAAGGAAATTGATTGAGATGATGGGCCCTTATTTGAGTACACATACGCCAAAGATTATGGTCCTGTTGAGTTTCGCCATTGATAAGAAGGTCTCCAGATGGGTGGTCTTGATGTCTTACATTTTTTCATAAAGCAATTGGCTGAAGTGTCACCAAGTAGTATCAAATATGTTCTGTCCCAAGTTGTAGCTGCTTTCATTCCATCTCTGGAAAGGTGCAGAGGATGTCCTTCCATGAACCTAGGTAAAATTGTTGAAATCCTAGAAGAGCTTGTTGTGAAAAACAATAGCTTGCTAAAGCAACATATACGTGAATTACCACTGTTGCCTAGCATACCGTCTTTATCGGAAGTAAACAAGGTAATAGAGGAAGCTAGAGGGCTAATGACACTGCAAGATCATCTGAAGGATGCTGTCAATGGTCTTAATCATGAAAGCTTAAATGTGAGGTACATGGTAGCTTGTGAGCTGAGTAAATTATTCAATGCCAGAAGGGAGGATGTGACTGCTCTTATCATTGGTGAAGATATTGCTGATTTGGATGTAATAAGCTCTTTAGTTATGGCTTTACTTAAAGGATGTGCAGAGCAATCAAGGACTGTTGTTGGCCAGAGACTGAAACTAGTTTGTGCAGACTGTCTTGGCACACTTGGTGCTGTTGATCCTGCTAAGTTGAAGGTAAGTTCTTGTGAGCGCTTTAAGATAGAATGTTCAGATGATGATCTGATATTTGAGTTGATCCACAAGCATCTTGCAAGGGCATTCAGAGCTGCTGCTGACACTACAGTGCAAGATTCTGCTGCCTTGGCTATCCAGGAGCTACTAAAATTGGCAGGTTGCCAGTCTTCATCTAGTGAAGAATCAAATTGTTGTGAGATGAGCTACAGGGGCCAAAAGTTGTGGGACCGTTTCTCAAACTATGTCAAGGAAATTATTGCCCCATGCTTAACATCGAGGTTTCATCTTCCTAACACAACTGATTCTGCTTTAGCTGGCCCAATATTCCGCCCAACAATGTCTTTTAGAAGGTGGATATACTACTGGATTAGAAAGTTGTCATCACATGCAACTGGATCCCGTTCTAGTATTTTTAGTGCATGCCGTGGAATTCTTCGGCATGACATGCCAACTGCAATCTATCTCTTACCATACTTGGTCTTAAATGTTGTCTGTTATGGTACTCCAGAGGCTCGTCAGAGCATTACTGAGGAAATTCTGTGTGTTCTCAATGCTGCTGCTTCTGAAAATAGTGGGGCTGCTGTTCATGAAATTGCAGTGGTGCAGAGTGAGGTCTGTATTCAAGCCATCTTCACTTTACTTGATAACCTTGGGCAATGGGTTGATGACCTCAAACAGGAAATTGCTTTATCCCAGTCTAGTTATGCCATGGCTGGAAAGCATGGAGGTAAACTGAAAGATGGCACATATTCTGATCATGAACAGGATCAAATGCTGGTGCAGTGTAGCAATGTTGCTGAGTTGCTGGCTGCTATACCTAAAGTCACTCTAGCAAGGGCCTCTCTTAGATGTCAAGCTCATGCTCGTGCTCTAATGTACTTTGAATCCCATGTCCAGGAGAATTCTGGTTCCTCCAATCCAGCTGCGGAGTGTAGTGGCACCTTTTCAGACAATGACATATCTTTTCTTATGGAAATATATGGAGGATTGGATGAGCCTGATGGCCTCCTAGGTTTAGCGAATATGAGGAAGTCATCGAGCCTACAGGATCAGCTTATCATTAATGAGAAAGCTGGAAACTGGGCTGAAGTCCTAACCTTATGTGAACAGGCCTTGCAAATGGAACCTACCTCTGTTCATAGACAATCCGATGTTCTTAATTGTTTGCTAAACATGTGCCACCTTCAAGGCATGATCACCCATGTGGACGGTTTGGTTTGCAGTATACCCCAGTATAAGAAAACTTGGTTCATGCATGGAGTGCAAGCAGCGTGGCGATTAGGGAGATGGGATCTCATGGATTCATATCTGACCAGGACAGACAAGGGTCTGGTGTTCAGCAGTTCTGAGAATAATGCTTCTTTTGACATGGATCTTGCTAAGATATTCAAGGCCATGATGATCAAAGATCAGTTTCTGGTTGCTGAAAAAATTGCCCAGTCCAAGCAAGCATTGCTTGTACCTCTGGCTGCGGCAGGCATGGACTCATATATGCGTGCATATCCTTATGTTGTCAAGCTCCATATGTTGCGTGAGTTGGAAGACTTCAATTCCCTGTTGGGAGATGAGTCATTTATTGATAAGTCATTTCGTGCAAACGATCCAAACTTTCTGAAGTTAACGAAGGATTGGGAGAACCGTCTGAGATGCACACAGCCATCACTGTGGACAAGGGAACCTTTACTTGCTCTGCGAAGGGTGGTTTTTAGTCAGAGTCATATGAATGTTCAAGTTGGGAACTGCTGGCTTCAGTATGCTAAGCTCTGCCGTTTGGCTGGTCACAATGAGACAGCCCACCTTGCAATACTAGAAGCAGATGCCTCAGGTGCCCCCAATGCTCACATGGAGAAGGCAAAGTATCTCTGGAATATACGGAAGTTTGATAGCGCTATAGCTGAACTTCAGCAAACGCTTATCAACATGCCAGCGGAAGTTTTGGGAAATGCTGTTGTTTCATCTCTTTGTAGCCTCTCTCTTGCTTTTGCCAAATGCACCTATCTCTGCAACACAAGCATTGAAAGAGAATCCAGATGTGTCTAAAACCCTGCTTCTCTATACTAGATGGATTCACAACACAGGGCAAAAACAGAGTGCGGATATCAAATCTCTCTATTCTAGAGTAATGGAATTGCGGCCCAAGTGGGAAAAAGGTTTTTCTGCATGGCAAAGTTTTTTGATGATTTGCTTGTTGATGCTAGGAAAAGGCAAGAAGATAAGTTTGCTTGTAAAGTTGGACCAGTCCCTTCTAGCTCTGCAAGCAGGGCAATTGAAGAAAAAGAGAAGCCTTGGTGTGAATTTCTTCCGGGAGTGCTACTATGTTATGGAAAAGCACTTCACAAAGGACATAAGAATCTTTTTCAAGCACTGCCTCGAATGCTCTCTTTGGTTTGAATTTGGAAGCATATATGTCCGAAATGAATCTTCCTCCAAACAACGTATGAAAGAGATTAATGCAAATGTAAATTGATTGCACATCCTTTTCATATTCATTTTTTTTTCATTCTGCGTAAGAAACTTAATCAGCCCATTGCAGGTTTTAGGCCTCATACGTGGGTGTTTGAAGGATCTACCAACATATCAGTGGCTTACTGTGCTGTCTCAGTTGATCTCCCGCATCTGTCACCAAAATGCTGATGTTGTCAGAATGGTCAAATGCATCATCACATCTATTTTACGGGAATACCCTCAACAAGCTCTTTGGATGATGGCTGCAGTGTCTAATTCCACTGTTCTGGCAAGACGAGATGCTGCTGCAGAAATATTGCAGTCAGCAAAGAAAGGATGTCGGCGTGGGAGTAATGCACTCTTCAGTCAATTTACTAATCTTATAGGCCATCTTATTAGGCTCTGCTCTCATCCAGGGCAACCAAGGGTGAAAACAATAAACATCTCAACTGAGTTCAGTGCCTTGAAAAGAATGATGCCACTAGGAATTATCTTACCTGTCCAGCAAGCTTTAACTGTGACTCTGCCATCATATGATTCAAATATGTCGGATCAATCTGGTTTTCACCCCTTCTCAGTCTCTCAACATCCCACTATAGCTGGAATAGCTGATGAAGCAGAAATTCTTAACTCCCTTCAGAAACCAAAGAAGGTACGTTGAGCATTGCCTTGCTTGATTAATTACTCAATTAGTATGAAGAGCAACTGTTTAGGCTAACTAAATTTCACATCAAAAGCCATTCTAAATTTTGTTAGATGGTGAATATTTCTAGAGTGTTGTACAAATCATTGTTGAATTTGATATTGAAGTTAAAAGGCTGTTCGACACTTGTACAAGTTTGTTAGTATCAGAGTTAGCTATAGTCCTATAGCTTATACTTCACTAGGCTGATAGCAACTCACCAGCTGATCATTTTGAACTTCAGGTTGTTTTCCTCGGAAGTGATGGAGTTGAACGTCCATTTCTTTGCAAACCTAAGGATGATCTTAGGAAAGACTCACGCATGATGGAGTTCAATGCAATGATCAACCGTCTCCTCTCCACGGTCCCTGAGAGCCGCAGGAGAAAGCTCTATATCAGAACCTTTGCAGTGGTACCACTTACCGAAGATTGTGGAATGGTAGAATGGGTGCCCAATACTCGTGGTCTTCGGCATATTCTTCAGGACATCTACATAACTTTTGGGAAGTTTTATAGGGCGAAAACAAATTCACAAATCAAGAAGATATATGACACATGCCATGGGAAGATGCCTGACGATGTGATGCTGAAGACCAGAATCCTTCCAATGTTTCCCTCAGTTTTCCACAAATGGTTCTTGACAACATTCTCTGAACCAGCTGCATGGTTTCATGCTAGAGTGGCATATGCACATACCACGGCAGTGTGGTCAATGGTTGGGCACATCGTGGGGCTGGGCGACAGGCATGGTGAAAACATCCTCTTCGACTCGACGACCGGGGACTGTGTTCACGTGGATTTTAGCTGCCTGTTTGATAGGGGCTTGCTACTGGACAAGCCTGAGGTGGTGCCGTTTAGGCTTACACAGGTAAGTAGCGAGAGCATGTCTTGGTTAGTTTTTCGTGCCTTTCAAGCTCTGTGGATATCTGACCTGTAACATGGTTTTTTTTCTTGGACTTCAACTGCAGAACATGATCGATGGCTTGGGCATCACTGGGTATGAAGGCGTATTTTTAAAGGTCTGTGAAATCACTCTATCTGTTCTCAGGACCCACAAGGAGACCCTCATGACTGTCCTTGAGACCTTCATCCATGATCCACTCGTCGAGTGGACCAAACTTAACAAGTCTAGCGGAGGTGAAGTCCAGAACCCACACGCGCAGGTATGATGGCATATACAGCAAGGGCACTGGACGAGCGCATATTTGACATGTCTTAGAAGTATTGTAACCACCATTACACCGGTAGCATTCTGATGTATCTCTTGTTGTATACAATCCAATCTTCCAGAGGGCCATCACTAACATCAAAGCGAGGCTCCAGGGAGTTCTGGTGGGTGCTAAAGCCAGCCCTTCACTGCCGCTCTCCGTGGAAGGCCAAGCGCGGCGGCTGATCGCTGAAGCAGTCTCCCTCAACAACCTCGGCAAAATGTACATCTGGTGGATGCCATGGTTCTAAGTTCTATATAATAACAGGTCGTCCTCTCTCTCTCTCTCTCTCTCTCCCTTGCCAATTACTGTGTGTGTCTATATATATATATATATATATTTTGGTTGACAGAAACTTTGGGCAGAAAGTGGCATTTTGTAATAGCCCTATGGCTGCCCTACGCCCTTATTGCTGCTGTACCTACTACCTAGCATATCAATGCTTCTTTCATCTAGTGATATTACAACATGACTTTGGCCTCTCGGGGTAGCACTTATAGCAGTCAAAAATCTTAGTGTTGATCCATTGGCATTGGAAGTTTGGAACTGAATGAATGGTGGTGTCGTCTGAGGTGTGACTGTGACTGTGAGGCATAAGCAATACGCCATGGCCCATGAATGGAATCAAAAGGCACATGGCAAGACAAGCAATCAGGACTGCTTATTATAAAGCAACAGTATTAAGGTCCTATCTCAAGAAACATTAAGGTCCAGCCCAGAGCCCAGCTAATTATATGGGTCCGGCTCAGTTGGGTATCCTGCAGGCTGTTTCCTTTCCTATACACCACAACTCCACCAGTACATGGTGCGCTCTGTGTTAGATTCCTCGTATACCGGCCGGCAACGGTGTGGTGTGGTGTGGTGTGGGCTGAAGAGAAGAGAGACGCTTGCTGGGACCACCCATACCCTATTGGACTTCTGGTGGAGATCACGGGCGGCGTCGCCTCCTGTTCGTGGACTATTGCCTTATATGGTAAGATTATGATTATGATGACTGATGAGCGCTGCCCTCATGGCAGTCGTTGCGGCCGACGACCCACCCCGATCGGCGACGCCCATCGGATGCCATGGAGAGCGCCCGCCTCGCGCGGCAACCCTACAGTGCAGTTGCAGCGCTGAGGTGATCAGAGCCCGTGAACCTCTGACCTCTTGGTGCTGCGGTGCTGGTGCTCCCACACAAGACAATACTACTGTTGGCAAACTATAGCGAGCAGTGCGTCGTGAAGACGAGGCAGAGTGACACGCCTGCCAGTTCCAGTCCCAATCCCAGGCTGCTGCTGCCAACACCCACCCACCTGCGTCCCCATCCCCATCCCATCTCGACCGGTTCAGCATCTTTCTTTTCTTAATTACTTGCGCAAGCCTGTCATTCTTTTACTTCCTTAATATATTGTTATAATAACCCCATTCATCTTGTCCTGATGGCAACTCATTGCATCTACCACTACTATACTAAACATACTCCTATACATTAGCACGGTCACCGTCTTCCTTGTATTAGATATTGCCCTATTCGCTTGGCTGATAAGTCATGGCTGAAAGTATTATTGGCTAATTTATTATGAGAGAAAGATACTGTTCGTTGGCTGAAAAAATACGGTTTGTAAGTCAAGCGAACAGGACTTGGATAAGATAAGTACAAACTTTGGAGTCTAGATTGAGCACCTTTACAAGGTTCAGATGGACCTGCAGTGGACGACGATCCGTCCTGGGGGAGAGTTGTTCATTCCTCGCAGCATTAGCCATTAGCAATCAGTTAGCTGAAGATGCGGTTGGCTGCTTTATTAGGATTTTGGATAGGGCAATTACAAATTCGGTCAGGATGCTTTATTTTCATAATGAGCCTATATTTGATATATAAATGTTAACCGTTTGTTATAAATCTAGTTAAGTTTAAAATTATTTGCCTCAGAGACAAGTGAGACTTCCATTAAAGACGGTAGTCTGAGTATTGAACTGTTAGCTCATCAGAAGATAGAAGAAAAAAAACGGGTTGGGCAGACAAACGGCTGGACACCGTCTATCATCCTGTTCGGTTGTTGTTTCAGCCAGCCTAAATCAACCAACTAACAATGTTTTTCTCTCACAACAAACCAGCACCGGTCAGCCTAAATGAGCCCGGTCAAATCCATCAATGACGCTTTCCCTGCCGGCATCCTCTCCTCTCTCTCCTGCAAAGGAGCGAGTGGCCGGCTAGTCAGCTCTGTCATGGTCCCCAGCCCAACCTCTCCCGCAGTCGCCGTGCAGAGCGCCAAGAGATACGACAAGCGCCACTGATCTGCTTCCGTGGTGAAATCTTTTACCGCCGAAAACGGAGTCCATCCATGGACCACGGTCATGGAACCAACGGGAGCATCAAGCAAGACGGGAGATTGCGAAAGCGACCCTCCATGCTTGGATTGGACAGAGAGAAAGGAGAGGTGACGAGAGGAGAGGGCCCAAGATCAACAAGAAGCAACAAATCAGCCTGGCTTATCAGCCATTTTTACGGTGTTTTTCTCTCGTAACAGATTAGCGTGGCTTATCAGCTATTTATACAGATGAGCCAAGCTTTTCAGCGAAACCAACAGACCAAGGAGCCTCCGCAAGTCCCGCCCCGTGACAGCTATCATTACAGATGATGATGAACAAATGAAGCATGGAATGGAGGGAAGGGGGTTTTCCTCTTCCGCTCCCTCCTCTGGATTCATTAGGCGGCCGGAACTCTAGTGCTTGGTAGTAGTTGTATCAGAATGTGACAGCAAGCGAAAAAGAAGAGCAGAATTTTGTGGTGGCACTCTAGTGCCTCATTGTTTCTTGTCTGTTCTACTTCTACTCTACAAATACATTTCTTTGCTTCATTGGTTGGTTGCGGCGTCCGTCCACCGGCAATGGCGAATTGGCAATACATACAGATACAGATCATAAGCTGGACTGAACATTTCAGCAACACACACGCCCTTCCTTCCTTGATACCTCCACAATATGAGCTAACATTATATATCCACAATACAACGAACAGAACATAACAGAGGAGCTGAATGGAGAACATTATATATAGATATATCCAAAAAGAGAGGGAATCGCCAAAGTCACTTCTGATCAATCATTAGAAAGGCAGCGAGCTTTGCTCTTGTTAATTAATAATAAATATAGGAGAAAGATTCAACAGCACAGGGCAACCTTTGCATCCTGCATGATGCTAGGACGGACGGACACACACTGCTAACATGGATAGTAGTAGATCGAAGTGGGTTATGATGGGGAGATTGATTGCAAAAAGGCCTCCCAAATCTTTGCCAGCCTCTGCCCTGCCTGCCTTTTCCGCTACTGGACCTGAACTGAAACTACACTGCTGCTCCTTGCTACCACTTCTACTAGCGCTGCTCAACCTTAATTTATTGCTGCCTCCTGCTCCCCTTCTTCTTCCTCCTCCCATGCCCTCTACAAGCAGCCCCCGCCGTAGCCAGCGTTCTTGAACAGCTCCTGCTTTATCACGTCGGCGCTGATCATGTCCCTCTGCATCTGCGATGTCATTGCCACCAAAAATTGTCAGTTAGGCACCCTCTTCTCCAGCAACCATTCAAGGAGCAAACTTGTTGCATTGCATTGCATGATTGCATCCAATTTGAGGGCGAAGGAGTATGAATGGCAGCGAACCAATGGATGGACAGGGAGTGGTCACTACCTCGGAGCAGGAGGCGTGCATGCCGAAGTCGTTGAAGCAGCTGATGACGCACTGCTGGATGTCGAGCCCTAGCGTGTCCAGCGTGCTCACCGTGGACAGCAGCAGCCCCGGCTTGGCGGCGCAGTAGATCTCCACCCGGGTGTCGCCGCCCTCCTTCCGCTCCACGTCGAACTGCACGAGGCATCACGTACATAGCAGCAGCATCTCAGCCTCGCCTCACATTTCCCTTCCCCCAATCGCAGCAGCAGCAATAGCAGCTCGCTTCTTCACGTACATTGGGGGTGTTCCTGGCCACCATCTCGTTGGGGTTGAGCGCCCGGAAGACGCTGAGCATGCCCGGCGCCTCCTGCTGCTGCTGGTCCATCTCCTCCTGCAGCAGCTTGATCCTCTCCAGCAGCTCCTTCATGTAGTCGATCGTGTCGCCCAGGATCGACGTCCGGTCCATCTGCGCACCACGACGCACATTTCATATCTCATCAGCCCAGCCGCCATAGATAGATAGATAGATTATTTGTTTGCTGTTGATGCAAATGTCCTTTCTTGGCCGAGGAGGACAAGAACCAAGGAAAAGGAGAGATTTTTTTTTTTGGCCTTCTCACCTTGCTGATCTTGGGCACGACGGAGCGCAGCATGGAGAGGCGGTCGTTGAGGCGCTTGCGGCGGCGGCGCTCGGCCATCAGGTTCTTGGACGGCATCCCCTCGACCCTCTTCTTCTTGGACGCCGGAGCCGGCGGCGGCGCGACGCCGGGGCCAGGGCCGAACGCGCCGCCGCTCTCCGCCAGGCCGGGCTCCACCTTGCAGACCCCGAGGCCCGCGGTGGCGCCGCCGCCGCCGCCGTCCACCAGCGCCGCCGCCGTCTTGGGCTCGACGACGTCAAGGAACCCCATCTCGCCGCCGTAGTCGCCGGCATTGGGCCCGCCGAACGCCGCGGCGGCGCCGTAGACCTCGCTGAGGCAGTCGAAGCCGGGCGCCACCGCCGGCTGCGGCTGCGGCTGGGCGTAGGAGGCGGTGAAGGTGGGGAGGACGCTGACGGTGGGCACCTGGTGGTGGCGGTCCTGGAAGGAGCAGTCCATGGCCGCCGCCGGGGAGAAGAAGTCCCCCATGGCATTGCAGTCCCAGCCGTCCCTCCGCAGGGAGAGGATCTCCTCCAGGAAGGCCTGCTCTTCCAGCTCCATCGCCGCCGCCGCCTCCTTCTCCTCGAACTCGAAGAATGCGAGAGGGTAAGCACAGAAAGAGGTGGTGGTGGCTATGGCTTGTGAGGAGGAGGAAGGCGTGGTGGTGGGGAGAGGGAGAGCGGAGGATGCCAATGCCATGGGTGAAGGGAAGGGGGATTAATATATGGGGAATGGAAGGGGGGACAATTATTCCCTATGATAAATGGTGAACAGTGGCCATTAAGGTAGGTTTGAGTTGAGAGCTTCCGTCCAGTTCGGTTGGCTCGTTCGTATCGTCGCTGGTTTGTGAAGAAGTATGATTGGCTAGTTTGTGTGAAAGAAAAATATTGTTTTTGCTGAAAATTTACGATCATTTACGATAAGCCACAGTCAAGCGAACAGGCTTTAGGGAAGAAGAGAGGGAGCTACTAGTCTTGATGGGATTGGATTGGAAAGGAAAAGAACCATGCTGCTGCCTTCTCATTTCTCACTACACTACTTGATGCTTATGCCTGTATTGTGTTAGCTCAAATCCATCCATCCATTTGTTTGTCTGTTTGTTTAATTAATTAATCCATGGGTTTTGCTGTTGATTAAGTTGTGGTCTGTACTGCTAGTAGCAGTAGAATGCAGAGAGGCCCCCAATCTGTTTTTTGTTGTATTGTGACTTGTGAACCCTAGGGCAGAATAACAGTGATATAGGCTCCAGGATTCGTCCTGTTGGAGAAAGCTCTGCCTTGTGATCCCATCACTCATTCATGAGTTGTTACTGTCTACGGAGTACTGCTGAGTAATTAGGGTCTGTTTAGTTTCAAAAAAAATTTACGCAGCACCATCATATCGAATGTTGCGATACTTACGATAACTAAAACTCAAAAAAAATTTGCATCTAAATGCGCTCTTAGTGTCATCTATGAATAATAGGCAAAGGGGTACTATGATGACTGACGCGTCTCTGCTGGACATAAATAAATGTAATGCTAATTGCTGTCAGTAGCATCCAGAGGACGAGAAGTCGAGAACTACCACTGTCGTATAGTACTACATACTACACCTGTTACGTGGCTGCTAGATCGAGAGAGAGAGAGGCGACGACGGAGCTAAGGTGCCCGCGGCTACTGTTCACGCGAGGGAACAGCAGGAGAGAGTACATGAACGGCTGGCTCTAGTAACTTAATTTAACACGTTCGTTTGTTGGTTTCAGCCAGTTCAAATCAGTCAGTCAATAGTGTTTTCCTCTCATAAAAAATCAGCACCAGTGAAAGATCCTAATGGCTAGAGGGGGGTAAATAGCCAAATAAAATTCTACAACAACACTTAACCAAATGGTTAGACAATTATGAGGCGAAGCGAGTGTTGCGCTTAGCCTACTTAAAATGCAAGCCACCTACCACAATTCTAGTTTAGATAGTGTCAAATTCACACAAGAGTAATGACACTACCCTATGTTAGTGTGCTCTCAAAAAGCTAACTAAAGAGCCACACCAACCAAGCATGCAAGCTCTCACAACTAGCTACACTAAAGAGCTTGTCAACTAGTTTCTTGGTAAAGTAAAGAGAGTGATCAAGAGGGTTATACCGCCGTGTAGTGGTAGGAACCAATCAATCACAATAATAAATACCAATGTAGACCAATCACCTCGGAATCAAATGATGAACACAATGATTTTTACCGAGGTTCACTTGCTGCTTAAGCAAGCTAGTCCTCGTTGTGGCGATTCACTCACTTGGAGGTTCACCTATTTGATTGGCATCACTCGCCAAACCCTCAATAAGGTGCCGCTTTAACCAACACAAGATGAGGATCACACAAGCCACAAGCAATTTACTAGAGTACCTTTTGGCGCTCCGCCGAGAAAGGTCAAGAACCCTCACAATCACCACGATCGGAGTCGGAGACAATCACCTCCTCCACTCAACGATCCTTCTTTGCTCCCAAGCCGTCTAGGTGGCGGCAACCACCAAGAGTAACAAGCGAAATCCGTGGCGAAACACAATCACCAAGTGCCTCTAGATGCAATCACTCAAGCAATGCACTTGGATTCATTCCCAATCTCACTATGATGATGAATCAATAATGTAGATGAGTGGGAGGGCTTTGGCTAGGCTCACAAGGTTGCTATATCAATGAAAATGTGCAAGAGAGCGAGCTTGAGCCGGCCATGGGGCTATAAATAGAGCCCCAGTGAATAGAGCCGTTGTACCCTTTCTTTGGGCTAACGCGGGGTGACCGGACGCTCGGTCCGATCGGCCGGACGGCGGCCCTCGGCGTCCGGTCACGTGATTCACGCCACGTGTCCCCCGCTTCAAATACTATTCGTCGATTTCAGCGACATGAATCGACCGGACGCTCGGTAAAAGCGGACCGGACGGCTGGAGCCCACGGCGTCCGGCCGAGTCTGATAAGGGTCCAAATCCATTTTTCTTCGACCGGACGCGTCCAGTCCACCTCGACCGGACTCAGCCAGCGTCCGGTGGTATACCCTAGCCATCATATCATTGCTTGAGTCGGTATGACCGGAGATATGACGATCGGCGTCCGGTCATTGAGTGACTCCGGCGTCCGGCCATCTGGACCGACGCCTTGACATCATTTCGATCAACTCCATTTCAACTCTTACTTCTTCACCCTTGCTCAAGTGTGCCAACCACCAAGAATTTTGCATCCGGCGCAATAGAAAATAGACATTTTATTTTCCCGAAAGCGCCGAATCCCGCCTCGCAAGCTCGGCGGGAGGGAGAGAGGGACCCAAACCCATCTCAACCCTACAAACACCTTGTGCACATGTGGTAGCATATTTACACAAATATTATCAAGGGTGTTAGCACTCCACTAGATCCTAAATGCATATGCAATGAGTTAGAGCATCTAGTGGCACTTTGATAACCGTATTCCGATACGAGTTTCACCCCTCTTAATAGTATGGCTTATCAAACCTAAATGTGATCACACTCTCTAAGTGTCTTGATCACCAAAATAAAATAGCTCCTACAAGTTATACATTTGCCTTGAGCTTTTTGTTTTTCTCTTTCTTCTCTTCAAGTTTAAGTCCTTGATCATCTCTATGCTATCACCATTGTCATGTTATGATCTTCATTTGCTTCTCTACTTGAAGTGTGCTACCTATCTCATGATCACTTGATGAACTAGGTTAGCACTTAGGGTTTCATCAATTTACCAAAACCAAACTAGAGCTTTCAACCAGCCAGTCTAAATCAGCACCAGCACCAGCACCAACCAGCGAATAGGCATTGTTGCTTCTTATTTGTCTATAACTGATAGACGGTTCTCTTTTTATAGAGATGACTGACTTGACCCCTAAAAAAATATTCTAACCAAATCAATCTAACATATATCTTTTCTAACAAACCAAACCACATATCTCTTTCCTAACAAATCAAACAATTCTAACAAACCAAACCACATATCTCTTTCCTAACAAATCAAACAATCTAATCTAATCTAATCACGCGTTACAGCACCGTGTCGCTACAGTACCACGTGGGCCCCTGGGCCGGCTCTACTCGCCATTACAACACCAGTGCACCACCCTGTGTGTGATTCTGTTCTTGGATTTGAAAAATAAAAAGAATGGTACAGATAATACCGTGTTTTTATTTTCATGATATATCACCATCGTTTAGGGAATGTTTGAAATATTGGTTCCTCAATACCGGTCTGAAAAATGCACAACTCATCAAGCCATGAGTACTACTCACTCAATTGGAGCTAAACCTGCTGATACGTCCAGAAGAGATAATGGCACTTTTGTTAACTGCTAGTAGCATCATGAAGCTAGAAATGGCAGTTAACAAAAGTGAAGAGTGAAGACTCTGCTGCAGATACACTAAAGGTAAAGAGATTAGTAATAAACAACTAAACAAGGAGGAAGTCAGGAGCAGCAAGCAAGGATCCAAAACCATCTTTCTGGACGCCACGGGCACAGACTTTGAAAGGCTCAACACTCATGACTCGTCAGGCAGAGAGGGCATTCAGATTCAGAGGCAGGACAGGACAGGCTCCACACAGAAACTCTTGGCCACACCCACACTGTGGAAACTTTGGTGAGTGTTGAGTTCCTCCTCTTCCTCCTCATTGTCACGCCAGTTGATTGAAATGAAATGGATTGATTTCTGTGACAAACATTTTCTTATCACTACTAGGAGCAGTATTGACTGATAGTCTCTTTCCAGTAGTACTACACTACTACTCTTTTTGGAGTATTATGTACTGTATAAGTATATTGTATGCACACTCTTGCAACTATACATGGTACATGCTCCTACATCCTAAATACTGACATCTACTATAATGGACCAATCAAAATTACACTAGGTCTCACTGAGAAAAAGTTCCCGCTGAGAGCCTCTGACCATTATACACCTAGAAAAATACACGCGAGAATTCGTTTCCATTGAAATTAAGCGCTAATGAAACACCGAAACGCTTCCAACGGCCCATGTTTGATTTGAGAAGCCCCGCCCTCCACCCCACGCGTTGCGATGGAGTCACGCTCACCCCTCGCGCGACTCCCGCCTTGCAGCCACGGTTCAATTCATGGATCCTCGGTCTTTTTTATTTTTCTGTCTTTTCTTGGCTCAAATGACCGCCGAACCTAGATCTGGATCCCACGCGCCGACTCCTCTCCCACGCCCTCTCCCCCGCCGCTGGGGGGGGGCACCAGAGAGAGCCGAGCACCGCCGCGCCGACGGGCATGGGGTGGGGGGGCCGCCGTCGTCTTGGTTGCCACCATGGGAGTCACCCTCCCGCCGCCCGCCACCATGGGAGTTAGCCATCGAGGAGGCGCGAGGTGCGGCCGATGCCCCCGCCTCTCCCCACGCGCCGCCTCACGACTCAATCCCCTCTCTCCTCCGCCCATGCCCAACCCGAGTTCCAGGAGCCGCCGGCGCAAGTGGGACGGGCCGCGGCCACCATGGGAGTCGGCCATCGCAGGGCCTCCTGCCGCCGCCACCATGGGAGTTAGCCATCGAGGAGCGGGGAACGAGGTGGGCGCGATGAACCGATGCTCCGTCATCTGCAAGGCCGGGCGAGCTTCGTCGCCCCTACGACGTCAACTTCAACTGTTCTATCCTCGGCATCGTAAGCGGCCCGGAATGCCCAACCTCTCCCGAGTTCCCGTCCGTCTTACGCCGCGCGG